GGAGGGAGAAGTGGGGGAATGGGTGGAGGGAGGGTGATTGGAGGAATCGCTTCTGTGGTTTATCTTACAAGGGTACAAGTAGATCTTTCTAAGAGTAGAATATGAACGTCTTAACACAATAATTAAGAAAATGACATGAAGGCTATGTTAACCAGTTTGATGAAAATATTTCAAATTCTATATGAAAACACACTGTACCCCAGAATTGCATTAATGCACGTAGTTATTTAATAAAAAAAAAAACTTCCATTGTCAGGTTTCAGAAGACCATCCGTCAGTAAGTAGTCTATAAAACATACAACAGAAGAGAAACCTAGTTATGTGCTAGAGTTTTCCTAATAGTAACGTTCAAGTAACTAGTAGAAAACAACCAAAAACTAATGTAGTTTTTAACATAATTTATTTGGGGCTTGGCGTCCATAGCACAGTGGTTACGGCGCCGGCCACATATACCGAGGCTGGTGAGCTTGAGCCCAGCCCAGGCCAGCTAAAAACAACAATGGCAACTGCAACAAAAAAATAGCCAGGCGTTATGGCTTGTGGCGGGCACCTGTAGTCCCAGTTACTTGGGAGGCTGAGGCAAGAGAATTGCTGACGTTCAAGAGTTTGAGGTTGCTGTGAGCTATGATGCAACGGCACTCTACTGATGGCAACATAGTGAGACTCTGTCTCAAAAATAATAATAATTTATTTGGGGCTGGGCACGCTGACTCACACCTGTAATCCTAGTACTCTGGGAGGCTGAGGCAAGTATATTGCCCGAGCTCAGGAGTTCAAGAGCAGCCTGAGACCCCCATCTCTAAAAAATACCTAGGTGTCATGGTAGACGCCTGAAGTCCCAGCTACTTGGGAGGCTGAGGCAAGAGGTCACTTGAGCCTAAGACTTTGAGTTTGCTGAGAGCTATGACACCACAGCACTCTACCAAGGATGACAGAGTAAGACTCTGTCTGACAACAAGTACAATAAAAATATAGCCAGGCATTGTGGCAGGTGCTTGTACTCCCAGCTACTTGGGAGGCTGCGTCAAGAGGATCGCTTAAGTCCAAGAGTTTGAGGTTGCTGTGAGCTGTGATGTTACAGCACTCTACCAAGGGTGACATAGCGAGACTCTCCGTCTCAAAATAAAATTATTTGAACTTCTTATTTAAACATGGAACAATACATATATGCAGTCAAAAAAATTTAAAAAGAATAAAATCTATTGTGGTGTGCAGTAATTGCTACCATGTTAATTTTACATGTAAATTAACTTTGATATGAAAAAAATCTGATAGAAAAACAAGCAAAGGAAAGAAATATATAAATGGAAACACATGAGATGCACATCACAACTAATCAAAGAAATATAAATGATAAAAACACCATTTTTCAAATAAGCAACTTTAAAAAATAACACCGTGCCCATCTTGCTGAATTGTTGCCTTAAAATTATTAGAATCAGTTAATTCCATTCCAATGAATTCTGAAGAATTATGTTGGAAAAAGATGTGTATAGATGTTTGTAGAATCATAATAGGCTCACTATTAGAAGAATTGTTAAATTATGATCTGTTCACAATAGGCTGTTTTGCAGCTATTTACATAATTCATTTACATAGTTCCATTTTTAAGAACAGATTTTAAATGACTCATTTAAACATTTTTTGTAATTTCTAAATTTTACCATGATTGTGTATTTTTTATAATTAGAAGAAAAACATTAATACCTAATACTTAAGCATTGTTATGTATCAGTTAATTTTTAGAACACCACCTGAAGTACTATTACTTTCCTCTGTCAGATGAGGAGACTCAGCCAATGGCAGGGTGCATAGCTTACCCAGACTGAGCCGC